CACATTACATGGTTGTTGAGCACCCTCTATGATACTTTTATGATGGTACGCAGGTATATATTTCCATGAATATTCAGGATTTGTCAAGCAGTTCGATAGCTCAGCTGATAGGGTCGTGATTTTGTACCGCAAGGGATCCTCGCGTTATGGGTTCGAATCACCAGTTTTACCAGAATTTTTTTCTTTCTAATCTGAGGCTTTGGAGGATTTTTATTAAGGGCAATAAAGTCTGAATTTCATTACATTAAAATTCATTTCTTTTTTCTAATTTTTATATGTTTTCTCATGTTTTTAAGAGAAGTAAAGTCCAAAACGTCATGCAGCATACACCCCATTCAGATGTCGTTTGGGGAACAAAAATCGCAGGCGGGCTAGGCCGGAAATCTGCGTAAGACACTGTAAAACTAGTGTAACTAGCTGGCGACCATTGTGTAGTCTATGTGATAGACCCTGGTTCTGGCGAAGCCGACCATGGTCTATGATATGTAAATAGATTGGCTATTAATTATGCAACTAGACTGCGTATGACCTCAAGAAACTGACCAATCAGCATACGCCTTGTATACGTGCATAATGCAAGCTCCCTGTGTGCGTAAACATCATGCCTGCAATGAGTAGCATTTTTGTTCAGCTTGTTGTATTCCAAAAACATGGCGTCGAAATTGACCAATCATAATCTTAGTCCTGATTTCGGAATGAAATGACAAGCGTTCTACCGGAGATGGGCTGCGTGGAGAACGGATGATTCTCAGACTAGCCATTGTTCATGTGGGCTGCCTAAATATAACTCTGGACGCCTTGTTTCAAGAAAATGCAATCGTTTTGCGTTCATTTTCCCATAGGGACCAAGTTGGTAACGGACCGAGTTGGTCACGGACTGAGTTTGTCACAGACCGAGTTGGGTCACAGACCGAGTTGGTCACGGACCGAGTTGGGTCACGGACCAAGTTGGTCACGGACCGAATTAGTCACGGATCGAGTTGGTCACGGACTGAGTTTGTCACAGACCGAGTTGGGTCACAGACCGAGTTAGTCACGGACCGAGTTGGGTCACGGACCAAGTTGGTCACGGACCAAGTTGGTCACGGACCGAATTAGTCACGGATCGAGTTGGTCACGGACCGAGTTGGTCACAGACCAAGTTGGTCATGGACTGAGTTGGTCACGGACATATCTCGCAGTTAAAAACTTAATTGTACATGTTAACCAGGGTTGGCTGATTTAAATCACGTTGATTTAAATCACTGATTTAAATCGCAATTTAAATCAAATGATTTTTTTAATAAAAATCACTGATTTAAATCACTTTTTTTTGTAAAAATCTTATTTTTGGCAAAATCAATTGATTGAGGTCTCTTTAATCATTTAAATCAACTGATTCCACTTAATTACAAAGTGTAAGATGATGTTAACACATTCAAACACCCCTTACTTCATCACCATTGACTCAATTTAGGTTTTGCATAATTACACAAAATCGTTGTTTTGATTAAGTTTTTCTTCAAAGTTTTTAATTTTAAAGAGAGCACACTCACGTTTGCTTTAATAATTCCTTGATCTGTTTACAGTAATATTGTGAATCAACTGCACTGGTGTAGGCTTACATGAACCATCAAAAAGTGTATTGAAAGTCCCAATTGATAGTCTTAGTCCTAACGTTTCTCCCTACAAATTTAGATTGAGATTTATATAAAACCTTTTAAAGGTGCGAGGCCTGAATTCTGTTCTCCTCCTTGGGCCATCAATCAAACACTATAAGTTTCACAAGGATCAGTGCCACCGGTTTTGAAATTAGAAGCATTTTTATGAAATCAACATGCCCATGGAGAACTGTCGTATTTTGTTTTGTATACCATAAATCAAGTTTTCATTCATATCCGCACACAAGGTAACTCAGCTGTATCAATCAAGCAATGCAAAAGTGTCTTCAGTAATAATGTACCATTGAACCAATGATGTAGACTACATGTGAAGAAATCAAGTGATTTGTTAAAATCTCTGATTCAGTACAATTTTTTTCAAAAGCATATATCAATTTATTGAGTAGTGGATGATGGGTGTTATAGGAACCTGTAAACGCCTTTGTGATGGTTGTGAGGGTGCATGGGGAGATCTAGACACACGTTTAGACTATCAATATTTGGAAAGTAAAAACAATACAAACAATCTGATTTAAATCAAGAAAAACGACTCAACCGCATCTGCCGTTACTCCACTGGCCTCATCGGCTGTATCCACGGCCCCCATACCTGGCGACCCGGGTGCCAGGGCCCCACCTGCTCTGCTCACCCCAGTCTTTCGTTTCTCTGAGTGGTTCATTAACATCAGAGTTCCTGGCTGCCTCTGCTATCTCTACAATCTGAAGCTGATTCTTCTCCTCCGAAAAAGAAGAAACACAAGTCAACAGATATGTCCTGTGACAGCTCTGTCGGCCACAAACAACATAAATCTTCTCATAAGGACAAGGCATTACTTCAAACAATTCAGAACTTGTCTGAAACCTTGTCAGCCTTCTCCAAACAGACTTCCGCGGCTAAATCGGGCTCGTCACCCCCTTATCAGCCTCTGCCACCTCCAAACTCTTGCATACCCCACACGATTTCCCGTCCATCGGACTCTCCAGTCGTGTTGGTATTCACCCTGAGTTCCGTCTGAACTCCCGCCTACCGTTGTTGACGATGTGCTTGATAAACTGGCCTCCGACTCTGGTCATCGGGCTTCAGCTATGTCCTTGTTTCCGGAACTGCAATGAGAAGGGGCTTGTTTGGGTATAACCCATGCAGCGTTTTCGCTCCTGCTGTCCAAATACTTGTTCCAGGGGCGTCAAACCGATTCCACCATCCCAGCCGGCATGTTAGGCTCCGCCTTTCGCTGTGTGGACCAACTCACTTGGGGCAGTTCTCAGCGAACTTACTTGTGTGTGTCATCACAACATAGAGACAAGACAGGCAGCATTTCTGCATGCCATATTTCTGCCCTCTGATGGAGCTCCCAAGCGTCTCGAGTCCCTTCCCTTCCAATGGCAAGACCTCATCAGACGGCGGGTTCCTGGACTTCAGCACAGACCACCCACCACATCAATTTTCTCGAACTGACAGCGGTCCTCAATGGCCTTCACTGCTTTCACTGCATAGTGCAGGGTCAATCTGTTCTCATCCGCTGGGACAACAGGACTGTGGTGTCCTACATCAACCAGCAAGGCGGGACACACTCCCCAAGCCTACCCGCATGCCTACTCACATGGCAACTACTGCACTGGTGTCGCCAGCATGCCATCTCTCTCAAAGCGGTCCACTAACCAAATGCGTTCATTTTCGCACCTTAACCCCCCCCCCCCCCAACGTGTGGGCTGATTCTACTAGCGACTACTCTTGTAGAGTGCCCACCCGCCTCTCCACTCTCACGTACGCGTTCACTTACGCATCTTATGCTCGAGAAAAGAGGAAGTATGGCAAGGTGCCGTGGGTAATAAATCTTAGCATATGGCTAGCACCCTTCAGGGAATAAGCCATATGTAGTGATATTCTACGGGTAAGTATTCGCTAGTAGAATCGGCCCACACTTTGATGGGGGGAGTGTTTTTGTTTCTTTAAAATTCAAATCCGTCATTTGATCTGTGTCTGATGACTATCTTTTACCACAAAATAATGATACCCAGTACCTTGTTGACCTTGCACTTCAAAATGCTGCGATGTCATCCTACCTGACTAAAGGTGCATGATAAATTCTATATTTTCAGAAGTTCTTTTCACCTCATGATGAACATGTACATGTATCCTCTCTGATCTAAATCAGAATTCAGTTCGCACATTTTAACTGCTGACTGGAAAGGCTGAATTTCATGATCCTTTTTCTGTTCTGACATAAACATATTCACAATTGGGCAATGTCCTATGACATAGTTTTGGCCCGATCACCAAGTGTTGGTAACTCAACAAATGCGAGCCGTTAGTCAAGTGGTGCATATTACTCTGACTCATGATGACATCATCGGGTGTTAAATTACAAGCTATTAAAGATGTCTAGATTTAATCTTTGAAAATCAATATAAATCAACCTTGAGAGACCTGAACTTGACTTTTGCAGGAATCGATAGAATAATCCAGGGTCTTAATCTTTATGTATTATGTGCAAAATCACGTGACCCTTCCTTCCGGTTGAAACCGGAAGTGCCTTGTAATTTAAAATTGGTGAAAGATGTGAACTTGCTTTCAACGATGTATGCTATGGCTAAGTTGTTATTTACAAACAAAAATATATTTATAGATGAAAATTGATGTGACGTCATCATGACGTCATTACGTCACATGTGACGTCATTATTCAAAGCCCTATGATGGGAATGTAATCATATATTATATGCCACCAATTATTATCAACAGAACTACACATTCTTCCTGGATGGAACTTGTAGTTGCACTTCAAACTTTACATGTCACATGTCACAAAAAATACCAAAACAACCCTGTGTTTGTCCACAAACATAAGTCTAGTTAGTATTGGATCTGTGTTAGGCTTCTAGTTTCAGTATTTTAGTGTGCCCTTCTTTCCTCTGAAGCAGGTAAGATACTTTTTTAGACATGCACCCATTGGATGTATTTGGGTTTGCCTCTCTTTACAAAAGTAATAAGGATCATCTGGTATTTTGCGACCTGGTCATGCTCAGCTTGTTACCACTCTTCATGTTTCTAACTTGAGTTAAGGCCTTTTTATCATATGAAGGAATAGTTCTTTTCTGCCATCAAGACCGTCTTGTGTGGTTGCCAACTCCATTGCTGCAACCACTTTCACACCTTCTTGAAGGAGACCTTTTTTGCAGCCCAACAATTCTATCTGAAATAAAAATCATCTGAATTGAAATGTCTGTTTTCTGTGTGCCATTTTTAATCAACAACACACTATTGTTAATGGTTAAAAGTGTTATGGATTTGTTTTAATTTTACATCACGGTGATTGATTATAACCTTTGTGTACTATATATTGATTTGTTATATATTGTAGAGCCAGAGTTAGGGGGAGAATTTCCTATTCAAGATGTTAAGAGTGGTCAAGGTGGCCTTCTGCAAGTTACCATGGAAGGTGTTGGGCTAAAGTTTTCTCAGTCAAAGGTATGTAAATGTTGAAGGCAAACCATCCATGCCATTTTTAGTACATTTGCCCCTATATAATATATCACATGAGATAATAACTAACATCCACGCCACAATTATGAAGTATTAAACCCAAGTAAAGAAAAATGTTAAATACCTCATCATGTCTTTAGAAAGTGAAGGTTCTAGAAATATGAGTGTACCAACAAAATTAAAGTGAAATCCTTGCCTCAAAATGTTTGAAGGTGCAATGAAACTAACCAAGGGTGGGCAAGAGGGTAGATGAGTCAGGGTACGGGGCTAATTGTTGGGTCTATAATCACATAAAAGGGATTCATTGCATAGACTGTTGAAAAACATAAAAGAGGAACTAGCTTAGCTCTATTAATATAAATTTGTACCAATAAGCATTTCACCATAGCAAACAAAAGGAGACATACTCATATTTTGATCCTGGCAATGTCTTTCATCTTACATTTATAACTATGTATGCATTGATTTAAGTACTTAGTTTCCCTGTGTCACCTCAGCCACACATGTAGGCTCTGTGCATATACCAAATAGTGTAAGTGGTAGCCCTGCAATAATGGCAAGTTGTTGAACACTTCCATTTCATCCAGTATCATTTTGAATGGGTTTCGACTAGATTTAGTGTGAAAAAGACTAGTGTATGTCCCTGCAGTATTTTCTCTAAGATTCAAAGGAAGAGGGGGAACAACTCTAGAAGTGAGAGCACTTAATTGAATGGATATGCCCAGTTATCACATATTGAGTTGACAAAAATCATTCCATTCCAGGGCTGTGTCCATGCATTGACAATGATGTTTATAATACCATGGTTGGGTTAAAAGTGTATGGATCCTATTGGTTGGATTCAGGAGTATTAATGTAACCCGTATTATTATCATAAAACTCCGTAAGTAAAGGGTCATTACAAAAAGAAAACTGGGATTGGGCTTAGACCAAAGAACCAAAGATCAAGGTAACTTGCATAGGAAATAGATGCTATGGTTTCAATCAGGCAACAGCAACTTCCATTCCGTAAGAGGGTTCCCTATAAACCTTAAATAGCCATTTTTCTCGTTTCACAGCCTGAGAGAATGGTTCCCCCCCCCCCCAATCTCAAACATGAAATGCTTCATTTTCTTCAAATTTGGTATGCAAGTAGAAACATCCATTCTTATTACCTCCGCCAGTGAGGTTATGTTTTCACGGGTGTCGGTTTGTTTGTTTGTTGGTTGGTTGGTTTGTCTGTGGACAGGATAACTTGAAGAGTTGTGGACGGATTTCCATGAAAATTTGTGTAGGGGCAGTCCTTGGTACAAGTGCGAATCTATTAGATGGGATCTGGGTGAGGATCCAGGATTTTTTGTAAGGATTCTTTACCACATTTTGTGTAGAAAACATTGCCTGTGTCTATATACGTACCTGTGTGGGTAACGCAGTGTGCAGTGTACATGAGCATTTGGGGCACACACCGTGGGGACTGGGAGTGGGGAATGTGTGCAAACACAACCGGTCAAGTACAATGCCACGTATATCAACGGTGTTTTCACGAAGTGACAAAAACCTCAATACCATGCAAAAAGGTCATTCCGAGATAATCACATTTGGAGTTAATCCTTTTTTCAAAACACCTTTTCGACTAGTTGTTAGTTATGGATTTAGGAAATTCTTGCATCGGCAAGTAACGTATGCTTTGTTCTTTGCTAATTCAAAGTTGTTTATTAGAAGTCTCTCTTAATTAAACTGCAATTCATTAATAAAGATCAATAAAGATATTCTTCACCTCGTGAAAACAGCAAAACCCTGAGGCCTCACTATTTTTGTCCCATTAAGTTGTACACACTCTTCGTCACTTCGTGAAAATAATAAAACGTTCTAAGAAATTATTACATCTGCACGTCTTAGGCACTGCAGCGCGCGCGTGTCTGTTCTTTATCAACATCGTTCACGGCGCGCACGTCCACTCCCATCCTAACGCGTGTGTAGAGAATATGCATTATTCCTCTGGCCCTGCTAACGAGGTAAGTTTTTTCCCTTTGTGAAAACAGAAAAACATGGATTTCAGGCATTTTGTCAAATGTTTGCTTACAATAATTACAAAAGTAAACAATATTTCGCTTTGAAACTCGGCCAAATTCTTCTTTTTGTCAAGTGCAATAAATTGGCCAGCAAAACTCAAAATAAAAAAATTATCGATTTTGCAGGTTTTTTTTCACTTCGTGAAAACATTGTCGATATGCTTGACCCGTTGACCTTGGCAGTGGGTTGCACATAGTTAAAGTTAAATGGGCAGTCGCTACAGTGCAAAAGAATTAATAAAAAAAAAAAGATTTAATTTTTCAGTTACGGTTTACAAAGTATGGAAGTCTAGTGGATATGTGAGTATTTCTTTTGGGTGTACTGACAATATGGCGGGGAATTGTTGAGCCTTGGCAGAGGTTTGCGCTCTCTGAGTGCTTTCTAGGTCATATTGTAAGAGATGGCTTTGCCCCGTCACCCACTTCACCACCTCGCCCCATTAACTTTCGAATACCTTACTGCTTTGATCAAGCTTTTGTTTGCATTTTGAATTCACCTATAATTAACCTCCCTGTAATCCTAGAAGCAATGGTCCAGTGACTGTCGCAACAAAACAAATGTGTCTCGATGTATGATCTATCAGATTAGGAAATTTGTATGGTTCACAATATTTTTGTTGACTTTTGTTGTTAATAAAGTCTCAAACCTGTGGGGTACTGAGATTTTGATATCATGGACAGGCTCATATTTGTTTGAAGAAACCCCAGTGGTTTTGTACATGATTTCTAACTATAGACCTTCACCATGTCGTCGACCCTATTATGCTCTACTAGGTCCACTATTGACTACTTTTGGATACACAGCAAAGCTTGTGTATAATGCAGCCCTTACAGCCATATGGTTGCGAAGGGCGATTTCTAAACGTAACACTTTATTTTGAATGAAACTACATGTACACAGACATGTTCACGTTGGCGGGTGAAATCTTTGAATATTAATTTCTCCTGTTTGGAAGACGGTATCTTCATGCAACTTTCAGGATTTATTTCCCCTATATTGATCCAAGGGTCTGGTAAAAGTCATTGTGATATGTTTATTACTTTTAGTTGAAATTGGAAAAATAGGCCTTGCTACGGTCCATTTTGAAAATTGTAACACTGGCGCGGGCAATATCTATCAATCTTTTCCAGCCTCACGAATATACCGGTACTTTGTCATTTTTCGTAAGACATTAGGCTGAAGACACTCTTAAAGCTCAGCATGAAAGGTTGGATGCCATTGGTTTTAGAGTCAAGGTGATTATTATTGAAAATGAATTTAATCCTCTAAACTCCTTACTTAAAAGCTCCCATTAGTCCAGTGTTTGAAGCACTCCAGAAAGTGATTACACAAAAACTACACATGGCACGATTTCCATGATCATTTCCAAAACCAGTTTAGGTAGAGTGCTGTGGTCCTATGGTTATGGTGTTCAACTCATGTGCCATGGTACATGAGTTCGAACCCTGACAGGGAACATGGTGCTTGTGTTCTTGAACGAGACACTTTACTACAGTTGCCTCTCTCCACCCAGGAGTATAAAGGGGTACCTGTATATGTAAAGACCAGATTGCGCTGATCTTGAGTTGTGGCAAATAAAAAACTGGTCTGATGGCCAGATAAACAGGGTAATAATTGTGTAGTGCTTTGAGACCTAGAGTGGTATAAAATGCTTTTTATGCCCCGCGGCGAAGCCAAAGGGGCATACTGTTGGCCGCCTTGTCCTTCCGTGGTTGGGTGGTTGGTGGGTGGGTGTGTGTGTGCGTGGGTGCGTGTACAAACACTGCCTTGTGGGGTACCGGAACAATGGGAGGTACCCCACAAGGAATGCCCTCCGACTTGCAGGGTACCGTTTTGGTACCCCACAAGTTTTTCATGAAATAGATATATGGATTTTACTCAAAAACTAGGAATTTCCAAGGTGGGTTGATCTGTCGCAAATGGAAGAGTTTAAGAAAAGGGATGTTAAGTCCGAATTTCAGCCCAGGAAATTACATGTAACTATGGTTAAAATAAGAGCATTTGACATAAGTGTGCGACGTTGCAATATTTTAGTACACAAGAACAAAGGAAGTACTCAACTTCTATGCCTATGTAAGCGTGTGTGGGTGGGTGTGTGTGTCCGGACAATCTTGTCAGCGCGATAACTTGAGAATACTTAACATATGAACTTCAAATTTGGTTTGTGGATTGTTCTTGGTAATCCTAGGAAGCCTATTGTATTTGGGGCCGAAGGGTCAAGGTCACAGTGGCTAAAACAATAGAAATTTTGTCAGCGCCATAACTGGAGAAATACTTTACATGTGAACTTCAAATTTGGTTTGTGGATTGTTCTTGGCAATCCTAAGAAGCCTATTGCATTGGGGGTTGAAAGGTCAAGGGTCAAGGTCACAGTGGCTAAAACAAAAGAAATTTTGTCAGCGCGATAACTTGAGAAATACTTTACATGTGAACTGCAAATTTGGTTTGTGGATTGTTCTTGGCAATCCTAAGAAGCCTACTGCATTGGGGGCCGAAAGGTCAAGGGTCAAGGTCACAGTGGCTAAAACAAAAGAATTTTGTCAGCGCGATAACTTGAGAAATATTGTACATGTGAACTTCAAATTTGGTTTGTGGATTGTTCTTGGTAATCCTAAGAAGCCTATTGCATTTTGGGCCAAAATATCAAGGGTCAAGGTCACAGTGGCTAAAACAATAGAAATCTTGTATTTATTCTGAGAACATATGGATTAATTCATATAAAACCTACAGAAAACACTAATGCTGTCAATGAACGTTCCATGTGACCCAAGTTCATGTACATGTAAGTTGATGTTAAAAGAGTGGTGTTAGGTCATGGGAACAGTCACGGTTGCGGGGCATTCTGTAATTTCATTGGTCTAGAATGGCCATGTGTCCAGTCTGAATAAATGTTTAAGATTAATAGATTTAATCTTTAAAAATCAATATAAAATCAACCCTGAGAGACCTGAACTTGACTTTTA